GGGGGATATGATTTCCATGTACAAAATGTTCAATGGTGGTAGCAACATTAGCGATAAACTGTTTAAAATTAACTCTGTTACAAAAACTAGAGGCCATCACCTAAAATTGGTGGAAAAAAAATTCCAGCACAAGGGGCGAAGGGGGTTCTTCACAGTAAGATCAGTTAGGGTCTGGAACTCACTGCCACAGGCGGTGATTTCAGCAAATAATCTGGAATTGTTCAAGAAACTTTTGGACGATTTCTTAAGGGACCGTGATATACAGGGGTACAGGTACTCCTAGAATGAGATCCTAATAGGTTGGACTTGATGGACTAATGTCTTTATTCAACCTCAAATACTATGTAACTATGTATTTTTAAAGGGCAGATCTATATAGGGTGAAGTCTCGCATGGATTTGGATTTACACCATAGTTGCTCAAGAGCACGACTATGTTTTAAGTCTTCTGTTGTCATCTGTTTGCTAAGGTTGTAGTGGACGGGGCCTAATTCTGTGAGTGGTGAGTGGGGCAAGTGCATCATACAGGACGAGAGTGAGCTATTGTAGAGAGAAGTGGCAAGGTTAAGCCATTCCTCTCCCCATTCTGTCCAGTGCACCCAAAAAATCCTTTTTAGGACTTTTTTGAACAAGCATATTTGGCAATTGCTGATAAAGCAAGTCGCAAGGAGGGGTGGTGATGCAACTGGAGCACTCCACTGCTCATGTCGCATCGCTCACTCCCCTCGCCCAGAAGCTAGGCATTGTGTGCAGGGGATGGCATGCTGCAACGAAAAAAATTAAATAATTTAATGAAAAAATAACCCTGTGATTTGAAAATTAGCACTGGCGATAAGATGAACGACAGCAAATAGCTGGTACAATATTAACAAACAAGTTAAAAAATAAAAGCTTTTCTTAAATTAACATATTTGTAAAAACCGACCTCACAATTAAATGTTATTCAGAGTGCACAAAAAAGTATAGATAACTTACTCCAGTGTTACAATTGTTTTCTGAGTTGACTTCATAGTATTTTGAATTACATTTCCATATAATATTAGATCTTGTGTTGATTTCTGAAATTGTAGTACACGCTCAACTGTATTCATTAATTCTTCAGAAACCTCTAATATTTTCATCTGAAGGGAGAAAAAAAATATTGTATAATGATAATATTATAAAAAATATTTATATTATAAACACATGCAGCAAACACTTGCCACTTTCCCTATGTAATCCAATCACTAAGCTATTTCTATAAGCTTAGTGATTGGATTACATAGGGAAATACACTCCTGCTAGGACAGTAGGCTTCCTTAAGGAGCTCTTTGACCATATAAATGCATAATTGTATGCATAATGCATAAATGCATAACAGAGTTTGTAAACCTCTACTAAAGTCACTGAACGCACACATAAATCCTAACAACCTTAATAAAATTAGCTTACAGACTCATAACGCTCAGACACATGAACTGCCATTGATAGAGACACACTGCATTTGGGGCAGTGCATACGCTCCTATACGCACTTATTGCTCGGAAGCGCGCAATATATTAAGACAGAAAACCAGGATATCAGGGTCTGCTTGCACTCCCTTCCCACACGAGCAGACATGGAAGTCTATGTCTCCAGATTGGAGGCTACTTACAAGGAGGAATTACAGACCCTGAAAGCGGATATCACACAGATTGGAGATTATTATTATTATTATACAGGATTTATATAGCGCCAACAGTTTGCGCAGCGCTTTACAATATAAGGAAGATATTACAATTACAATACAATTCAAAGACAAGATGGTAAGGAGGGCCCTGCCCATGACGGCTTACAATCTAAAAGGGAGGGAGAAGTAATACATGAGGAGGTAGCTGTGAGGGGATG